AATGTAGCTGGCTCTTAGCCAGGAGAGACATGTCTGAGAAGGGCTGATGCTCCCCTGGCAAACATTCCTGTCATCACACCACCCTCCTGTGGCTGCCTGCTCTGCGCGGCTGACAAGGGAGGAGCTTCTGAGGCTGTTCAGCCTACAGGCAGCCAGGTGGGTCCCGGGGTCTGCACAGGGCTCCCAGTCCCCTGTGCATGACTGGGCCTTGGGCCTTGGTTCTTGCCCCTTGTGATAGCAGCCCACCTCAGCAGCCCCGCCACCACTCCCCTCTCCCCTAGTTGCAGTGTTCAGTGGGATCCACTACAGTCCAGATCCTCCTAGACTAGAATCCCATATGCCTGGTGAACCTAGGTAATAGGGAGGGTACAGTGGCCTCAGGAGGGTCACTGGGCTCCCCCACTCTCGGGCGGTACTACTCATGTGTAATGCACATTCTTATTTTCCCCTCAAAAATATGGGTAAAAAGTGTCCACTATACATGGCAAAATGCAGAAAGTGATTAGTAGTTATTAAAGAATCTTGTGGACTTCCACTGAGCCAAATGCATATCCCTGTGCTAGTATCAATACAATCTCTATCAGTACAGAATCTGTAGACTTGATTTCAAAAATTCTAACTTTAAGATTCTAAAAGGCTTAAAAACTGGTCTCAAAGTTTAGTTCCCAGGATCAGCGCTATCCGCCTCACTTGAACATTTGTTAGAAATGCAAAACAGTCTCCGATCACCTCCACCTACTAAGAAACTCTGGGGTGGGCAGTTTCCAATGGGTCCCAGTGATTTCCACCTGTTACTCTTGTCTTTGTGTAATTCCCTCCTGTAACAATGGTGCTGACTTGTGTACCAAATAAAATGTAGCAAATGTGATAGTTCATGACACCATAGAAACATGGGGCTTCCTCTTTATACTCTCTCAGATTCTTTGTTCTCAGGAAGCCAGCTTCCATGTTGTGAGGGTACCCAAGCAGCTCTACAGCAAGGCTCATGTGGTGAGGGACTGAGGCTTCCTGCCCACAGTCATGTGAGGGAGCCATTGCAGAAATAGATCATCCAGCCTGATCCAGATGGCTCAACTATAACTTCACAAGAAACCATGAGCCATAATCATCAGGCCAGTCTGCTCCCAGATTTCCTGACCCACAGAAATTGAGTGAAATAATTAAAGCTTGCTGTTCTTTTCAGTATCTAAGTTTTGCTTTTCAGCAAAGGATTATTAATATAGAAATCTTCTGGGTGACTCTGAGGCATGCTAAACTTTGAGAGCCACTAAGCTAGAACATTCATTCATCATCGAATAATTATTTTTTTTGTTTGTTGGACACTAAGTATCTGGATAAGAGGAGGGATACAATGATGGGCCAAACAGACACAGCTCACCTTTGGATGTGGCCTGATCTTTTCCTTCATTGTATTTACCACACTTTATATTTTATCACGTCTGACCCTTGCCTGGTTTCCTCACCACCATGTCCTGGGACCAGCCCTGTGCCTTGCACACAGACGTTTATCATTTCATGGATAAGCCTTCCCTTCCTTGTTCACCAACCTTATCCTACGTGATGAATTCAGGCCCTAATAACGTGGCCTCGGAATAGAGCCAATGGCACCACATTTAAGGTAATCAGGAACATTTCTAACTGCTACAGGATCCATTTCCATACAAAGAAATGTCTTCTGTGCTTAAAATAGTCAACTTTTAGAGTCTCTCTATTTCACATGTGCAGATTCCTAAACACGTATAAGGAAAATTTATGCAGTGGGTTTAGAAATGTAAGTAATTGCATGGGAGGCTATTTTTCACATATGAATGAACACATCAGTAAAGGTTTCAGCCAAAAAGATTGTGGAAGAAAGGCAATATAAAACCAGCCATGTGTGTAGATATGTGCATCTATCCACTGAACACATCAGGAAAAGAAATGATTCCGTGCGGCCCCCCCCTCCAGTGTAGCCTTGTGTGATCAGAACAACAGGGGGCTGGGACGTTGCCAGGGAGCTCTTTTCTGATGATGACCACCTCGTGGACCCATGCAGCTGGGGCACAGGCCAGAAGGTGCAAACTAAAATGCTCTAATCCCTGGTGATGGCTCATCGATAGGCTCTTTCATGCTGGAGCTGACCTTAGAGGTTAGAGTGTTTGGAAACGATGAGGTGCTAAGACAACAAGTCAATACCTTTCAGCATGACCTTGGAACACGAAGGTGCATTTGGAAAACCTTTTTGATAACAGAAAGAAATACATTCATTGATTTTTTAAAATTCTTATGGCAGACAGATATGGGTGACATAATTTTACTGCTATTTAAGGAAATCAGATAAATTATAAAACAGATGCTGGCTCTCATCTGATTTCTGATCATGATAAAAGAGAAGGTGTAAAGCCTATAGTAGCATCTACTGTAGTGGCTTTGGGGATAGTGAAAGGGCACTGGTGTTCTGCTGAGCAGAGCTCAGCCAGGATGTATTTTCTGCCCATCCTTGGTGCGAGGTCTCACACACTTGACTATACTGAGCCACCAGAGCCACCAATGAATTTAAAGATGTCAGACCATGGCTGTGTTGCATCTTCTGTCCCCACCCACAGCTTGCTCAATGGGAAATCAGTGGTTCCTCATCCAATTGCTGCTCTTCATTCTGTTTGATTAGCAAAACTGAACAGTGCTGTCCTACACGGCATCCTGGGACCAGGAAACCTCTCTATCTGCACTGTCCAATATGGTAGCTGTCACTACTCAGAGCTTCTTCTTTAATTCTAATTAATTGAAACTTAAGTAGTCACATGTGGCTAATAGCCACCATGATGGGCAGAACAGCACTAGGAAATAATAGTAACGATTGCAAATTGGCCGGCTACCTCATTCTTGGAAAGGTTTTATTATTATTTCCACTTCTCATCTGAGGATATTGAGGGTCAGAAGATTAAGTCAGAAATCTGGGAAGGGGCAGAGGAGAATTCAAACACAAACCTGTATAACCTCAGCCTATACTCCAGCAATGGCATCAAACCACATCTCTTTGCCTCATGTCAAAGAATCTTTAAACACAATCATCAGCCTCTGAAATCTCCAGATTCGTAGTAAATTGCTTTAAAAGAAAGCTGGCCACATGTGGCGTGACTTTTTTTTTTTCCAAAATAAACATGGGAACATACTTTTTTCAGCTATGACTCTCTAACTTGATTTTTTAAACCATGTATCAATAATAAGTATATCTGACAGGTCCCCTCATTGTGCTTTAAAACTTTTGCTGAAATCAAATATTAGCCACATGAATTCATGAGAAGGTGACAATATGAAAAAGACTTTATTAAACTCCTGCCACATCCTATTGTGCTGTCTCGGCATTACTCTATCTTGTTTACCCTTTGCTGACAAAGTAGATTATACTTTCTTTCCTAAATCAACAGGAACCTATGAAACAATACAAAAGATAAAGAACTTAGGATTTCAAAAGAGTCATCTGGAAAGAAAGAGTATTAAAAGCATGACATTAAAAGGGAGAAAAAAACTTATGGTTAAGGAAAATAATATGCAGTCATAATATGAATTTTTCATGAGTTCTTTATGAAAATATTTCACATTGTTATGTGAAAGTGGGCTGTCATATCAAAGATGTCATATCATAAGCCCACTTTAAAATCTGCAAGCCTTAATTCAGGATATTTACAGTGTGCTATATCCATAATCAAACCAGTGCTATCGCTCCAAATCTGTCCTTTATGCAGGGGGACTCACTGTGTAGCCCAAGGAAGGTACAGGGTTGCAAATTCATTGAAATTGGGGCAGAGAACATTATGATTTTTTACCAATAAAACCAATATCCCTGGTTCTGCTGTGGCCTCTCATATTACCATGGGAATTTAGGGTTTTCTTTAATACTACCCTACTCAGGTGAAAGCAAAGAAATAATGAGGTGATAAGCTGAAACACAGTTAAAGAAATGGGATAAAACCACAAAACTCTGAGGATCAAAGCCTGTCTGAAAAAAAAAAAAAAGTAAGGCAAATGTGATTATCTTGTTATATAAAATCCACCTTTGGATTAGAGCTAGTGGACTCTCTGGTTGGAAAACCTGAACACATCTCATGGAAGCCCTGCCTACCAATAATCTTGCAACAACACACTACTCTGGGGTCACAAATTCAGCTCCTGGACCTGGTACCACATAAGCAATGTGAGCAGGATCGGCTGGTGAATTAAAGACTACCACGTCCCCCTCACTTCCCCTTAAGAGGTGGGGTCCATGTCTCTGCCCCCTGGCCAGCTCAGACCAGCAGAATAGCTGTGAGGCTGTGCAGGTCTCCAGGGATCTGGCTTAAAAAACTGGCAGCTTCTATTTCCCATGTTTTGGAGCACACCCCTATGATCCCTAAGCTGCAATTTAAGAAGTCCAATTATCTTAAAACCACTGTTTAAGAGAGGCCATGGGTAGGCACATGGGCAACAGTCCCCATGGAGCCAGGTCTCTAGTTATCCCTGCCAAGGGGCTGGTTGTGCAGGTTAAGCCATCCCATGACACAGCTGAATATCACTAAGTGACCCCCACAGTGCCATGTACAACAGAAAGAAAAATCACCCAGCCAGGCCTGCCCTGCTTCACAAAATCATGGGAAAAATAAAATAATTCTTGTTCCAATACCTTAAAATTTTGGAGTAACTTATTATGTGAGTTTTTCTTTGTTCCTTAATTCATTTACTTTCCTTCCAAAATCACCTGTTAATTGTGTTTACTATACAGGTTGAGCATTTCTAATCTGAACATCTGAAATCTGAAATGCTCCAATTTTTTTTAAATGTCCACATGAGATTTAAAAGAAAGACTCACTGAACCATTTCTGATTTTTGGATTAGAGATGCTCAGCCAGTTAGAATATCAAACCATTTCTGGCCCCAGATAAGGGACACTCAGCCTGCACAAGATGAACACATATTTATTTATTAAATATTAGGCTTCTCCCTGCCCGCCTGCCCAGTCATTCCAATTTTTAACATACACCTACCAATGAAACCAGAAGATGGTGGGTTGGGCTGAATCTTCTCCTTAGTGTTTTCCTGGATAATGTCCCAAAGCTGCCATATAAATTTGGGATGAAGAATGTAAAATGGCTGGTCTGGGTTTCTCTGACGATGCTGGATATATGGAGTGAACAGGTTGTAATCTGGCTTCTTGTACCACTAAGAAAACAAAAAATCAAAACAATCAAGTAGAGGAAAGGAGACAGGGCAGAACCCAGGCAAGCTGGGGCTGGAGGGAGGGGAGCTCATGACCCGTCACCTCCTCACTGGGATGTGGGGTGACCACAGACAGAGCAGGGTGCCCACCCCAGCAGGGATAATGCTTTCTGCTTTAGTAAAATCAGGGAAATAGACCAGATCAGGGGTTTGCAGGCTTCTTCTGCCAAGGGCCACAGAGCCTCTATGACTCTCTCAGCTGCACCATGGGAGCACAAAAGCAGCCATAGATAACATGAACTGGACAGGTGTGCTGGGTGCTAAGAACATTTCATTTACAAAGACAGCGGGATGCCAACTTTGGCCACTGGTTATTGTATGCTGACTCCTGGGCTGGATTAGCATATTTCCAAAAACGAGTTCTCCAAGTTTTTATCTAAAGTAACAAAAAGTATGTCATTGCTGCTGGGTCTGGGAAGTGCCACTTGGCCTGGGGCTGGGAAGACTTAGTAGGATGGATTGACAAAGGAGCTCTATAGGGTGATAGAAATGGTCCACTTTTTATTGTGATGGTAATTGCATGAGTATATAAATTTGTTAAAACACATCAAAATGTACACTTATATTTATTTTATGTAAATTATCATAGAAAAAATCAATAAGTTTGATTTAAAAAAAGTCTTCAGGAATGTCTCTGGTGCTGCCATGACATGGTACTTGGAGGGGTGGATGAGAAGAGACTTAGCTTACAGCAATCCTTTCAAACAGATGCGGTAGGTATACAGTGGATGTACATTAAGATCCCAAGTAATTTTCCTCTGATGAAAAGTTTCTGTGGATGTAAGAACTGTGAGAATGACTGTACCAGATCATCTTGAATAAACTAAGTCCCCAAGCCAGGCAGCACCAGCAAGAGGGATGAAATGTGGGACCAGCAGATGAATCGTTCCTTTGCTCTTTGACTTCTCAGGTCCTCACAGAGCCGCACAGGCCTCACAGAATGGGGCTTTTGTGCTTGGATTTCAGCACTGTTGGGTGGCCAACTCTATGCCCTGGGACTGGATGCTTCCAACAGAGGAAGGAACAAAATCTAATAGCTAGAAGCTTCTCAGTCTGTTCATAAAGAATAAGAAAGCTGCCAGAACTTAAAACCAGGGAAGCCTGGGCAGGAAGGAAGTTGAAAAGGTCAAAGAGCCATCTGATGTGTGGTTCTCAGTGGAGAGTATATGTGAGAATCAACTGGAGAGCTTTCTCAAAATACACACACTGAAGCTATATATTGCCTTCATTTTTGGAAATGGGGCTTTTTTAACAGACAGATTTTGAAAAATATTCTCCAGGTGATTTTGATTTGTACCTTTGGTTATGAACCAGTCAGGAATTATGCTAGGTAAATGTCCAGCCTCAGTATCAAGATGAACAGTGGCCAGACCCTCCTTCTGGGGGACCCCATTCTATCTTAGATAGCTCTCTTGTGGAAATTTACCTCTAGGAGGAGCAAAGGAACAAAGACATGTCCCCCACATTTATCTTAAGGATTTGCATCATTACACATTCACCTTATAAAGGCTGGCTCCTCTCTGTTCATGACAAGACAAGTGAAAGATGCTCACCTGCTCAACTGACAGCATCTCTTACTAGGCTCAATAAAACCCATCCTTCCCTCTCCTCATTAAAAAACAAGTATGCTGGCTTTCCATACAAGGATTACTCAAAAGTAGCTAGCTGTTTATTTAGACAGGCAATGATTTACCAGAATGTCCCCAATATAACCTGCTTTTATTTTGATAGCTAGCAGCAAACTTGTTTCAGTTCTATTGCACAAAATTAAACAAATTTGGAAGCAGAAGCCAATGAAAAACAGACTCAGGAAAAGGCCCCATTTAAATAACCAATGAGTGTGGATTCCCAATGTTTAGATTCTCTTCTAACCACTTCCAACTTATTTCAGTAAGTCTTGCAACTACTGGGAAAGTAATGTAACCCTATCACAATGGAACAGTTCTGAGTTTAATCAGTCCACACACTTAGATGTTCTACATTTGTTCTCCTAATCCACCAGAACAAAAGCACTCTGGCATTAGATAGCGGATGCCCACCTAGGGTGCTACCATAACTGGGTATCAAAATGGTGCACACAGACATGTTACAAATGTTATATTCACTTTGTGCCCATGGTCAAGTTCATTCTGTCGCCTAGCTTAATTCTTGACTTGCTCCCATAATTAAACAACTGGTTACTGGGATGGACACCCAAGAAAATACTTACCAGGTTAAGATTTGAGGAGTAAGGAGCAGGGTCCCAGGCCACCAAAATAACATCTTTATACAATGGACTGTCAATGAAGTGGTGGTTGGGGTTGGTCAGAATCTGCAATCACACAGAGAAACCATCTTGAAACCAGTATCTGGTTCTTTAAAATTATATATATATTTTTTTAAAAGGTGAAAATTAAAAAGAAGAATGAGAGCAAGAGAAAAATGGCTCAGATTTTGTATCTTCCTCTGGCGGAAGGAGAAAGGCTGACTCTGCAGGCTGAAGCACCTCGAGGATGTCTGGGGACAGGAGGTACAAGTTCCTCTGTTCTAGCCGGCATTGTGCTCTCACACAGCCTGCGCAGGGGCAGCCCCTGGGGGTGTAACTCCTGAGCTGGTTCAGGCCCAGGTCTCCCCTGCAGCTGCCTTCCCATGGGACTTGGAGAGAGCTGGGCTATGGGTGAAATGAGTTTTTAGGAGTCTCTAGTCCTGATAACTCATTTGGCTGCAGTCCTCCCTCTGCAACTCTACCTGGTTCTGGAGGAATCCTTCAATCTCACCTGACAATCATCTTTTTCAATGTAATTTCAGGGAAAAAAACAACATATTGTTTTCCTCGGTTTTAAGACATGATTTTTTACCTTTCTCATGACTTACTTTGTTCCTTCAGACTTTTTAGGGTGATATGTGATTTAATTCGGCGGAGTTTATTTCCACCTGAGAGGCTGTTATTAAGTGAATGGTGGGTCTCAGAGTGGACAGCATCCATGAATTAAGGAAACACGGTGATGGTTCCTTACCCCGCAGAGGTGCCTGGCCCACTGAACCATGCACAGGCTAATCTCTAGGCTGTGCTGTGAGCAACTCATCAGCAATCACTCAGAGCCTCATTTTCTTCCTTCTTATTTTCGAAACTCTAGAGATCGTTGAGGTTTGTTCTGAGAATAATTTTCCTATAAATTTGGAAGACATTCATCTTAAGAATACGAAGAGGCGTTTTCATTGCTAATGAAATGTCTTTTCATTTTTAAATTTTTGAAACAACTGATCTCTCTCACCTCTACTCCTTCGTGAGAGGGACCCACTTCCAGCTCTCTTTGGAAGTGCTCTAAACTTTTTGTTCTTCCTAAGTAAAATTTCTCTTTGTTACATTGAAAATGAAATGAATTAAAATAAAATAAAATAAAATAAAATTTCCAAATAACCAAGTGAAGTTTCAAAGATGTCCTGTGGCCCCTCAGATTTTATGCTTGTCTCCCCTCCACTGTCCCCTGCCTTCCTTATCACCAGGATTTTGCTACGTTTAACTTTTCTCAGTTCATAAAAGGCAACGTGCCACATCTCGAATTATAAATACGCGTATGTATATTTTCATTTCTACTCTGTTTTTTCCTCTTAAATTTATTCATTTCTTCCTATGCACATCACATCTAAACTCCCGTTCCTCTGCACTCTTCCTTTTTAGTATGGATAATTACAAGACCCAGAGAAATAAGCAAGTGCTGTGGCCCTGGGTCACCAGGCCACTTCTCACTTATCCAGCCAAACCTACGAAGCGTACTTTTGTGAGAACACTCCATCCGCCTTACCTGGGAATTAATGATGCGCACGGTGGTTTTATTTCCAACATCTTTCTCATACCCACGCGTAGGAGCAGAGTTAAATCTCAAAACTGCGTCATGAGAATCTAAGGGCACATAAGTGACAAGCTTACTTTTTTTCTCTGTAGAATCACATAATCTAGGAAAAAATATTAAAGCAAATCTTTCAATACCTGAAGCTAATTAGACAACACCAATAAAGTTAAGATATCCATACACGTGTCTTTCAAATAATTTACTATTGATTGAGAATGAAGTTTTGGCTAGGAAAATCACCCTGGAGATACCCCATTCAATCACAGGGGATGCTGAATCAAGGAAGTTATATTTAGACATTTTCTATCTTTTCACAGTCTTTGCAAGTGACCAGGTTTATGCAGCCAGTCTCTCAAAGGTTCCAAAATATTTTGAAGGTGACTCCCTTGGAGCAGGTAAAGACACTAGCAGGAAGGGGCTCATCCTCTGTGGCTTCTTATGGCTTGGAGAGCCCAAGGCTGGCCAGAGTAAGAGCTGAGTCTCATGCTGCCACCGTCATGAGGACCAAAGTGCACTCTCACCCAGCAGAGCCACAGCTTCCAGTGCTGCCACAGCACTTTCTGGTGCTGGACTACATTTACAAAGCAAGCCAGTGCTGACTTCCTGCAGCCTTATACATGCTGCCAGTGCTAGGACCCGAGTGAGTACACCCTCAGGGCGTTCTGCGTCTGCAGTGATGGTCTGACGGCAGCACTCAGGAGAGTGGGAGAGACCACCACCATCGTCAGCCGCCAGGGCGCTCACGCTCTGTGACGGCGCATGGTGGGCCACTGAGCTTGAACTACAACATAAATCTGCATCTCACTTCACTCAACTTGACAGCCAGGCTTGCCCAAGTCTTCTGAATGCTGCACTGAGAGTTCCCAGCAAAAACAGGCTGTCATATCACAAAGGCTGGGAAGGAAGAGAGGAGTGAGAGGCAGAGGAGAGGGGAGGACTGTGAAAGAGGGACACAATCCCTTTGCATAAGGCAGTCTATAAACATGGGTCTTGAAATTCCTGGAAACTAGAGCCAGCGAACACTAAAGGGATTCTATGGGCCATCTTCAGCTGCAGACATCCCAGGCAAACTCCAAGTCAAACTTGGAGCAAATGACAGTGCCTGGGGTGAGAGAGGGAGAGGACAGGTGATACACTTCTCACATGCCCAAGAGCCACGAGGACACAAGTGTGCTGCAGGGATAGTAGCCACATCCCACGCAGTCCTGAAGCAGCTCACTGTGGGCCAAGCTATCCCTCCTTGGGAGCTGTCTTCCTACTCCTCAAGCAGCAGGAATTCACCAAGATGCCATCTTTAGTTACAAGAGGTATCTTTATGGGTAACAAGCTTTGAACTCAAAAGAATTCTGACTGCTGTTTTGAGCACCAAAAGTAACGCGCTTTTGGAACACAATGAATACACAACGGGCACCTCGCTATGTCATCAAAAATCCTATAATGTTCTTTTAGGGAAAATTTTGCAGGAGTTGACAAGCTGCGACCTATAGGCCAAATGTGGCCTGACACTTACTTTACGAAATACAGTTTACCTGCAGCAGACATACAACTTTCTGAGCACACCGTCTATAATGGCAGAGCTGAGTTGTTGAGACAGAGATCCCATGGCCCACAAAGGCTAAAGTATTTACC